AACTATTGCTACATCCTTATACTTAGCCTTTCAACTAGTTTCTCCTTGAAGTTCCTATTTGGAGTTTCTAGTTTAGAAGGTTACGCATGTCATCATAGGCTAATGATCTATTACTTCATTTCTTCATTAACCGATTTGGTTAATTTTGCAGATCATCTTTTGCCGATTATTATGTCATTGATTCTTGCAGATCAATTCACATGATGATCATTTGCAGATCACTTTACTGCGTCATATTTCTAATTTTCTGAAGATCATTTGGGTTACAATACTAAATAAAATAAAAATTACAAAGTATGAAAAAATAACTAAATTATGATTATCTCCTGATTGCTAATAAAAGCTCAAACCCGTTTAGATTGATTGATCACTGGAATCCCCTCTGACTTAACCAAGAAATCCATATTTAATGACTGAGCTGTCAACAAGAAATTCAAATGAGGTTGTCAATACAGCAACGTAATTTCTAAATGCTCTTCGATCTCAACTTCTAAATAAAATTTAAAAAACTAACAACCCTCCTAAGAAGGGAAATAGGTATAAATAGAAATTATTAAAAAAGACTATAAAAACCTAAATGTTTAATTAATTCTGGATATAACGACCACCCAACCAAAGAAGGTGCGTCTAAATAAAGGTCCAAACAGAGGCTCTTCATACTTACAGATTCATAAGTATGGAAAAAATATCACATGGAATTCACTACGAGAACCCTATGATGAATCAACAGATGATAACCTATACCCTCTACCTGGTTATCAGAAAGGAACGGATCTAGATGAAGCAGACTTATACCAAGTAAGCAAATGGCAATGACTATTCAGAGCTCCATTTAAAACTATGGTAAGCTGATAAGATACAAACCAAGTGGTAGCTACCATCACACTATATAGAAGACCTCATGAAGAAACAAAGTAATGATTCATGCTAAATTTGTACATGATCTTTGATGACAGAGGATCTGCAGAAAGGCAAAGACCAATTAAAAGAGAGTATATTGTTTAGGAAGGGGAAATGTATCATCACGTGAGATTTGTTTATCCAAAGTATATCGATCATAATCGTCAGTTGGGATACCCCTTAATGTCACTTTTTAGTAGGCAAAAAAGAAAAAGAGAAAAATGGAAAAAATTTGTTCGAAAAGAGGTGAAGAAAAAAATATTTTAACAAAAAACAACACTGTTTAGACTATTTCGAAAAATTTTATGTGGATAGGGGTGTGAGGAACTAAGAGAGGAATATTTTTGAAAGGTGAGATTTTTTTGTTTGTTCACAAGCTAAGCCGCAGCCGCCATTGAACAGACACTTTTTTAAGTAAAGTTCTTGAAAAAATCCAATGAGAAAGAGTGTGAGGAGGAATTGAGGAATCGAATGGTAGTTGTTTCATACGAATCAGAGCAATATTGACTGAGAACATACATCTTTTGTTTTTTTTTTAAATATAAAAAATCATGTGATATGACGTAATTTTGACTATTTCGACTTTTCATTCGACTTTTGGGTTTTCATTTCAACTTTATGTATAGTCAGGAATACCCTCATTCCTCACCACCTTTCAAACTTATTTTGCCAAAGATACGGATCTCTTCTTATAATTCCTGTAAGCTTGCTGGATAACTGTTACATAGAAATTTTTAAAGCTATAATTATAGTATTTAGGAATCAAAAACCCTTATGATTGCTTCATTGAACTTTCCTTCTCTTTTTTTCATATTCATACGAAAAAAATGTGTGAATAAGTTATATATCATAAAATAATAGTCTATATTTAAAATATTGCTCAAAATCAGTCAGTCATCTAGTTAAACAATCGTGATTTTTACAACATTTCTCAATCTTAACATAGTATCTTTTGGTTAATTAAGATGGTTTATGGATAGTAGCAAGTTATTTTGTTTTGCATATTGAGACAAGATAAATATTTTGCATATCATGTATTTTTTTAGAAAACCTTCTGAATATTGATAAAGAATTGGTGGTAAAGAAGGATAGGTCAATAAATAGGACTTAGCCATGGAGTATGATTCATCTTTGTTCTCAACCTTGCAGCAAGAGTAATCCCAATAATTTTTCATCAAATCTTCAGACTCAATTTTATAGGCCTATCTACGCTATCTATTATAATATACTTTTCTAGGCTTTACTTCAGCAATCTTCATCAATTTTTAGCATTTGAAACAGATAACCATCTGACTTTTATGGACATTAGGTTATGATAGCCAAAGCAATCTTTATATAGCTCACCGTTAATACAATATGTTTTGGATTCTACTTGCTTGAATGAAGTGAAAAGGCTATACACATGATATAAACTATATTTTTATTTAGAAATTAATTTTTGTAGAAAATATCTTACACAATTAGCCTATTGCTGAGGTGTTTCATGGGGTCTAATAATAAATAAATAATCATATTGCTTTTCTATTTCAACTACTTTTTTAAACTGTTCATTTAAATGATCACGATAATAGTTAACAACATGTTCCATATTATATTCAGGATGGAGATTGTTAGGTTTAGATATAGCTAAGGTTGCTTGTTTAAACTCATTTTGGATTTGGCAAAATGGTTAAACCTTTAGTTTCACTAAATTTTTACTAAGTGTTTGATATAGTTTCGCCATTTTTATAAGCTTTGATATAGTTTTACCTTTTTTCAAATTTCGCAGATTTTTTAATAAGGTTTTAATATAATTTAACCAAGTTTTACTTTTACCATTTTGACGTCTGTCTAAACTCTTGATTTCGTCTAGCAACCTTAGGTACAGCTTTATTATAAATATTATCTAAAATATCTTAACTATTAGTCCAGGCATATTTGATAATTATATGTGATTATGGACAATAAATAAGACTTATAGCAATTTTAATAATATAAAGCATTTTTAGTGAATATTTAATGTTATAGTAGTTTGTAGCAAGTATATTATAATAAAATATCAGATTTTATTTTTTATTCAATTACAAGTATATTATCAGAGATTTATATAAGGTTACATATAGCTTTGTGCATATTTACATGCATGTAAGAGATTTTTTAATAGCATAATTCGGTTAAATTAGTTCTGAGATAATATAATAGCTAAATTATTTTTAGATCTATGACATATATCATATCATAGAAATCATTCTGACTCCTTGCCAGTTCCATAACAGTTCTCAAATACTCCTTCAATACTGGCTAGTTACCGAAATCACGAGATTATTAGCCAATTAGATAAAAAAGCAATTAAGCCATCATTATCATTCGACTAATTATTATATTTATCATACTTGTTGTTCACATCATTAGATTTTCTTTATAAAATAAGCATCCATTCCCTAGGATCCTTCTCATAATGTGAAATTATATCATCTATTTGTATAGATCCGCTTCCTCATTGACAAACGAAAACAGAGAAATGTTGAATTTCACCTTACTCTGAATAAAAAGAAAATCTTGATTTAGGATGATATTGCTGAAAAAATTAATGAATATGAAAATACTAATTTTTTCACTAGCATGGACTGTCGCAAGAAGTTCAAAAATCTCAAGAAGACATTTAAAGTAAGTAGTCCTTGCTTTAGATTTTATAAAATTTAGTTATTCAATAAATTTATTTTTTTTATATGGCGGAAAAATATAGGGAAGGTAGTAAAAACAAAAGAAGCTTAATCGGAAGGAAGATTTATGATGAGTTCTCAACGAAATTCTGGCAAAAATCAGGTAATTGACTGAAGGCACTAAAGCATGTTTCTGGAAAATAGATGGGTAATACTTTCAAAAACTAACATGATTTTTTGCTAGATCTTCCATTTGAGCAGATACATAGTGAAAATATTAAGTCAAGTGGGATGGGTTCTTCTTCAACTACAAAAACCTCTTCAGCTTCCTCTTGTAGATCATCAAAAAAAATTACCAAGAAGTCACCATTGAGACCTGTAACTCCATCTATCGAAACACCTACAATCTCTAGACCAGTCACACCTACCCTCCCTTCTTTTTCACAAAATGCGAACGTCATTAACGTTACTATTAATTACGCTGATGCCAGTTTCAAAGGAATCGATTCAGTTGGGAGACATGATTAGGCTGTTTTTTATTGATGTACAGTAGAATAGCTTAGCAAATTTTAGACAATTAATTTACTTTTATAACTGTAAGTACGCTAAAATGCTACGTTAGTAAAATACAGCAGAATGTATTATTCATTATAGCAAACAACACACATGTTTTAAAAATTTGAAATGAAATTTTTTCATCAGCCGGCTAAGTAAAAAATGAATAAAAAATGATAGAGACAGGGATGTACCATTTATTTGATAAGTATATATAAGTTAAAAAATAAATGATGTGATAACCATACATGTCTCAAAGCATGGAAGAACTTCGGCAAGTGTGAACAGGCGATCACACTTGAGTAAATTTTGGCTGAAATCTGGAAAAATTCACACTTGAGTAAAAAATGGTGCAGTAAGTTTCACTGGTTCACTTTCCCCTTAAAGGTTTCGAGGTGGAATAGTAAATATGATGTCTAACTGATTTTGTTAACTAGTTCTAAAAAATAATCGAGTATTCAATCTCTCCCGAAGAAGCAAAGCTTCAAGGAAGGTAAACTTTAGCTATTATATAATCAATATTATCCTGAGACATATTCACTAGTGTTGATATCATGAATTCGCTTGATCTCGCCTTCTCATTCTTTGAACTTGAAGCCATATATCATGATTTAATAACTCAAGGTCGCTGAAGTTCTTTGCAAAAGTGATTAAAATAAATGCTTTATTAATAAAAAAGTAAGACTATGAAGATTGCATTGTATTACATAATTATTACATTTCTTCATGATACTAGTTTATAAATACACTACTTAATTCTTATTACAAATAATGTTAACTTTCCCGCAAATAAGCAAATTATGCAATAAACAAATTATAGAGTTAATACATGAGAAGCCAAATAAATTACAAATTATGATTGTGTATTAGTTAATAAGTCTCTTAAGATCATCTTTAATATTTTTTATCATAGCACAAATTTCTTCACAGAACTTTTCTTGGTCGAATGTAGTGGCTTGAGGAGGCGAATCTGGTTTACAAATAATCTTTGTTAAATATACTTCCTATGAAATGATTCAGAATAAAACAAAAATACCTGACATATCTTCACCTCCACTCGCTCCAAGTTCATTAGCATCTATTAATAATATAAAGTTAGAAAGAGAGCTCGATAATTACAATATAATGTTACAATTACTTGCCAGATTTATGCCTCTTAAGCTTGTTAACCGAATAAGCAATATTCATTGCTAGTCTTAACTTCACGCCACGACTTTCGAGTTTTTCTTCAGTTAACAGAAGAAAAGTTCTTCCAATTATTCCATTGTTGCTGAGAACTTCAAAGTCATCTTCCGTTAAACCTAAGTTTATTTGTCTCAATCAATTGATTAAATCCTTTGAAGTTACAATATTTCAATTTCATCAACAGATGGGAAAGAACTAGTTTCATGAACTTTATTCTAACATTCGGCAACCCCATAGAACATGTTAGTGGCTATTTGTTATAAAAACAACTTCACTTGTGGTCTCACCTTTTTTTCCGTGAAGTTGCAGTATCTGTCTGATCATAAGGATGTTTTCAACAAATTGTTTTTGAAATACATCAACCTGATCTGCGGAATTTTTAATCACGTTAAATTGTTGCTTTGCCTCACTACTCTAAGCTTGTTGTATATCCGATTCATATTATATCCTTTCTTCACTGGGGCAGTCCAATCCTTGACAGAATAGAAATCTGCATTAGTAAATTATTTTATAATGAAAGTTTCCAATTAAATGTACTGAGTGAGTTTTGAGCCAAGAGCTCACCACTTGAACTAAGAGTTGATGTTTCCACTATAACTAAGAGTTACAGCTTCTCCCAAGGAAATAAAAGAGGTTTTGAGCCAAGAGCTCACCACTCGAACTAAGAGTTAAGGTTTTCACTATAAACTAAAAAGTTCTAGCTTCCCCTGTTTCTTACTGCAGACTAAAGTCTCACATTAACTACCAACTCACCTTCCAATTATTGATAAGTTCTTGAGTTTTTTAATTCTATATGTCACGTTGAATATGGAATTAACACGCGTCACATTCTGAAGATTTTTCTTTACATTGTCTAGAATTTTAATTATATGTTTTCTTTACGATAAAACTCTACTATGTTGGTACAAGTCAATTCTTGGACCAGAGTAATCTTGTATAAATTCATTGTAAATACAGAAGTCAAGAGCATTTGGGAGGTTTGCTAGGAAAATGGGACTCTGAAACTAAAAAATTTTTTTGAATAAATTAAAAAATCAAAATAAACAAAAAACTAGCTTTAAATTTGAGGCGAT